AAGGGAAAAAAGATTTGCTCCTGTGTCTGCTGTTCCAGCTTGCAGGAGATTCAACGATAAAGTCCTTGTAAGGACTAGAGCTCCCAGGACTGAGTGTCGTCCAGTGCCTGGGGGTGTCTAGAGCTAATTCCCCATTCAGTTCCAGGAAGGAGCGGTTCCAGGGCCCCAGTCAAGCCACGGCGACTGAGGTCCAGAGTGCTGAAGTTTGTCCCCTGTTCCAGCTAGGAAGTGGTCCTTGGCGGAGGTACCCAGCGAAGGATACAGAAAGCTTTGTTACCTTGGCTTTTCACACCTTGGCTTCTGAGGTAGACTTGACTAATAGCGGGTTAATCTCTGCATTTAAAAAAGGATTATCCAAGGCAATTCTGGATGAGATTGCTGCCAAAGACCTACCTAAAAGATTAAATGAGTTTATCACATTTGTCATGCAGATTGATAATAGACTTAGAACCAGAGAAACTAACAGAAATGTCGTTAGCACCTCGGTTCTCCAGACCTGTTGTTCCTGACCTCTCTGTACAGTCCGAACCCGAACCTATGCAGTTGGGGGTCACTTCAGAGGCAGAAAGACAATATAGGAGAAAAGAATGTCTATGTCTTTACTGCGGTAAAAAAGGGCATATGAGGAGTGCTTGTCCCATACGTCCGGAAATCTTCCGCACCTAAGAACCCTAAGGGGACAGGTCTCAGGTGTGATGGATACATCCTCTGGGAATAACAAAAACAGATTCCTCCTTGATATTTCGGCCAAATGTAACAAGAAGAACTTTTTCTGCAAAGCCCTGATGTACTCAGGTGCGGCAGGAAACTTCATTGATGTACATTTTGTCAAAAAACATTCTATATCTATCAAGGAGAGATCATCACCTCTGGCCGTTGAGGCTATTAACAGGAGACCTCTCTCTCAACCCTTTATTACCCACAAAACCTTGCCTATTAACATTTCCATTGGTTCCTTACACAGGGAAGAAATAAAATTCCAAATAATTGCTTCTCCTTCTTGTCCCATCATATTAGGATTTCCTTGGCTTATTAAGCACAATCATCATATTGACTGGGCAAAAGGGGAAATATTGGAATGGGGCAAGGACTGTACTGAGAGATGTATGTTGCACATAACCAAAAGAGTGGGCATCATTACATTACCCACTACTACGCCTCAGGTCTCCGAAGTTCCCATACAATACTGGGAGGTTAAGGAGGTATTCAGTAAAACTCAGACTAATATTCTACCTCCTCACAGATCTTATGACTGTTCCATAAATATGCTACCCGGCGCTATGCAAACCAAGGGAGCAGTGTATGCCTTATCTAGACAGGAGAGTAGGATAATGGATGAGTACATCAAAGATTCCCTAAGTAAGGGCCACATACGTAAATCATCCTCACCTGCTGGTGCAGGGTTCTTTTTTGTATCTAAAAAAGATGGAGAATTACGTCCATGCATTGACTACAGGGCATTAAACAAGATCACCATTAAAAATACCTATCCCATTCCCCTCATTTCCGAATTGTTTGACAGACTCCAGGGTGCTAAAGTCTTTACTAAACTTGACCTCAGGAGTGTGTACAATTTGGTTAGAATTAAGGAAAAACATGAGTGGAAAATGTCATTTAACACTAGAAGTGGGCACTCTGAGTCCCTTTTTATGCCTTTTGGGTTATGCAATGCTCTGACCATGTTCCAGGACTTTATTAATGATGTACTCAGAGACTATATTTATTAATTTGTCCAAGTTTATCTGGATGATATCCTTATTTATTCCACAGACCTTCAGGCTCACCAAAAACATGTCATACAAGTATTGCAAACTTTAGTTAAAAATCAACTTTATTGCAAAAATGCATCTTTGACCAGACTGAAGTACAGTTTTTGGGGTATATAAATTCTGCCTCTGGTTTTCAGAAGGATCCTCATAAACTAGAGGCTGTTCTACATTGGCCATTGCCTAATGGACTAAAAACCATCCAAATGTTTATTGGATTTTCTAATTACTACAGGAGATTTATCAAAGGGTTCTCTTCTGTGATAGCGCCCATCACCAATATGACACGCAAGGGGGCTAGCAGTACGATATGATGTAAGGAAGCTAGCAAAGCTTTTGAACCTCTTAAAATTTTTATGCTTCAGCTGACATTTGGTACATCCTGACACTAGCAAACCCTTCATATTGGAGGTTCATGTCTCTGAAACTGTGGTGGGGGCTGTTCTTTCTCAGAGGGAGAGTCAGGATACCCCTTTGCATCCATGTGGGTACTTCTCTAAAAAGTTGTCTCCCATTGAGCGTAATTATGATATTGACAACAGAGAATTGTTGGCCATTATAAAGAGTAGTGACACCTTTTAGAGAGTTCCAAGAACCCCCTGTTGATCATTACTGACCACAAGAATTTGGCTTATATAGGGGATGCTAAACGTATGTCTTCTAGACAGGCTAGATGGTCTTTGTTCCTCTCTTGCTTTAACTTTCTTATAACTTACAGACCTGGTCCCAGAAATGTGAAAGTGGACTCCTTGTCTAGACAGTTTGATTCTGCATCAGTACAAGAACAAGAGACATCCCCTATTGTTCCACCTGAGTGTATCATCGCTTCCACTGTTCTTTCCTTGACATCCCCTCTGCTTGGCACTATCATGGAGGCTCAATCTCAGGCACCATGCAATAAACCACTAGATAAATTATTTTATTCCATTGGTTGAAAGAGAGAATGTCATGAGGGTGTTCCACAACAACGTGACTGCTGGACATCCAGGCATTAATAAATCCATATCCGTGATCCTGAGATCATTTTGGTGGGATTCTCTCAGGAAAGATGTTAAGGAATATGTGCAGGCCTGTTCAGTTTGTGCAGTTTCTATGGTACCTCATTAAACTTCCATGTGGATTGTTGCATCCACTTCCCGTACCTAGTGTTCCATTTGTCCATGGATTTCATCGTAGAACTTCCTAGTTCTAATGGCTATATTACCATCCCTAGGGTGGTTGACCACTTTTCTAAGATGGCTCATTTTGTTCCACTCAAGAAATTGCCATCCTCTCAAGACCTGGTTCTTATTTTTATACGAGAAATTGTCCGGCTACATGGCATTCCTCACAATATTGTATGTGACAGAGGTTCTCAGTTTGTGTCTCGGTTTTGGAGGGCTTTCAATAAACAGTTGGGCATTGAATTGTCATTTTCTTCCTTTTAACATCCCCAAAAAAATGCTGGCTGATAGGGCTAACCAGTCATTAGAATTGTATTTGTGTTGTATTGTTAATAGCACTCAGGATAATTGGTCCGAATTACTACCCTGGGCCGAGTTTGCTAGGAACAATGCTAACCGTGACTCTTCTGGACATATTCCATTCTTTGTTAATTATGGTCATCACCCTACTGTTCTGCCGGCTGTTTTCTGTGATACAGCTATGCCTGCTTTGGATGATCACCTAGCTTCACTCTGCTCTCAAAACAACAGCTGCTCGTTTCAAATTTCATGCAGATAAGCGGCGGGTGCCAACCCTGTTTACCAAGTGGGTGAGAGGGTGTGGTTAACATTGCGCAATGTGAAACTAAAAGTGCCTAGCATGAAGTTTGCCCCCAGATTACTTGGTCCATTTCGTATTATTCGAAAGATTAATCCTGTTTCATATTCTCTGACTCTCCCTGCCTCCTTACGTATTTCTAATTTTTTCATGTTTCTTTGCTCAAACCGCTCATATGCAATAGATATAGTATCCCAAGTGTTCCCCCTCCTTCATTGGTTGTTTCTGGACAGGAAGAGTACGAAGTCTCCTTCATAATTTATTCCAGGTTTTCTTGCAGTTTCTTGCAGTATTTGCTTGATTGGAGGGGGTACATGCCTGCCGAACGTTCTTGGGTTCCGGCTTCCGATATTCATGCTGGTTGCAAGATTTGTTATTTCCATGCCAAGTTTCCCCTCAAGCCTTGTCCTGTCCGCCCATTGGGCAGTCTTCAGGTGGGGGGTAATGTCACATGTTCATCCTCACCTTGTGGTGTCTCTGGTGATTACTACCTTGCGGGCATTGGTGGAGATGCTGGTCAGCAGACCTGTACCGTGGTGTCTGACTCCTGCGGCATGTTGAAGGACGCAGGCCACTGTGGACCCATGCCAATTTGTAGCCCCACATACACCCGTGGTGTTAACATCAATATCGGCATGCGTATGACGTCACGCAAAGGATGTGCTAGCACGTTCTGGGGTCAGAGGTCGGGTACAGCCAATCGGATCTAAAGGAGACTTGCTTAAACTCCTTTCTTGCCTGAGAGTGTGTTCCTGAGCGTTTATTTCTGGTTATTGACTTTGGCTTCGTTTGACTTCCCTGTATTCTGGTATCCTTGACTTTTGGCTTTCCCTCATCATTGTGTCTCCTTATGTGTCCCTGACCTTGGCAAGTATTCTGACTATTCTCTGGTCCGTTAAGTCCAGCCATTCTAAGGCCCAGGTCCTAGGTGTGATATAATTCTATGTGTTGTATCAACTAGTAATCCTGACACAGACATAGTGGAGAGCTACAGGTTCTTGATAGTAGCCATCTGTATTCCACTTTCTCTCTTTGCAGTTGTGCAGTTACCACACCCAATGACTTTCTCTAGAGTAAAGTATTCCAGGTGATGTCTTGGAAGAAGGTGAGTTGTGATGATTCAAAGTCGAATGGAGTCTTGCCCCTAACAGCTGCTACAATGCAGCGTTTGTCTGATATGGAGTGGCTTCAGATTATGAGGTCTCGTTGGGCTGTTGGAGGTGCCTGTTTGGCTTTGTTAATGTGGAAGTGGCCGTCGAATTCAAGCATGCGGTTGGAGCACTGCAGTGAGCCTACTCAGGTACTGTGGCAATTCAGTTGGCCCAATTGTGTCTGGGATTCCTTGAATTTTGAGGTTTCTGTGTATAGTGTATTTTGGAAGACTGTGTTTGCAGACTGTAAGTGTCGAAGGGTGTACCCCATGCTTTTCACTTCTTACCTTAGATCTATTATGCCCTCTTCAGAGGCCTGTACTCATGCTGTCACTGCATGTGTTTCGGTCCGTGTCAAATTAATGTAAGCATTAAACATTTGTTTCATCTGTTGTATTAGTTGCCTCATATTCCGTTTTGTGGCTGAGACTAAGTCACCCCCTTCTGCTGGTGGACTGCTAGGTGACCTGGGCTGCTGTTCATCCCGTTTTCCCTCTGAAAGCTGCTCTGACCATGTGGAGCCGGTTTCAGGGTTTGGCTCGGTCGCCATCTTGCGGCCTGTGGTTTGTTTTAGTAGGGCCCCTATATTACGGGTGTCATTGGGTGTACCTGCCTGTGGTTTCTGCAATCTTCTCCCCATGTTGGCGCTGGGAGATTGCTGTTGATGGGTGTTGGCGGTAGTGCCCAGTACTCCAGGTCCAGAAAGAGTGCGGCTGGCATTTGCGAGGTCCCCACAAAAGAGAGGGCGAGGTAGGCCGAGGCTTATGGCGGGTTTTCTTGCCCTTTTGGGTGAATAAGAAGGATATCAGTAGGTACCTTGTGCCCGGATGACGTGGCTGTTGGTCTTTTGGGTTGATGGGCCCTAGTGCCACTGACCTAGTTTAGTCAGTGTGTGCAATTCTTTAATGT